CTATATGATAACTTGAATATTCAGTATTTAATTATAATAATTAATATATTGTTTTTTTCTAATGATTACTGTTTTATGTGATTCTGAATAAATGACAATCGGTCAACGAGAGTAAAAAAAATGTATCTGCATTTGATTATGACTTTTAATGGACCTCACGGAAGACAATCATCCCTAATCACCGTACAGCGCAAGTACGCATAATACTCCCATGCCTTCAATCATGCACCAACAAATTTAATTATCAACACAAAAATAAAGAACAGTCAACACAATGTTGTATCTTAAAGGTTTTATTGCCTAATCTGTAAAACGCTGTAAATTTAACTCTTATGGTATCTGCGACCTTTTGTGTAGATAAAAATTAATGGTGACGGGATAATGGTGATTATAACAATGATGGTAGTGCTGGCGGCAATGATGAGGATGACGGCGTGAAGCCAAAAGAAATAGTCTTGTGTCAAATTACAGTGACACTCAGAAATTAGGGTCGTTCAGTTATATTCCTCCATATCGGTCTGGACTTGTAGATATTACCAATTATGCATTAAACTTTGAAAAGTCGCCTCTTTGTCAAAATGCCAAAAAAGAACGAATCTATAAATTTTCGCGAAGGTCTGATTGATGAATGATATAAAACAAGCGTATAAATTGCAGTCAAGGACTGTAATTATTGAATTCCAATTTTTCTAATAACGAAATGTGATTTCATTAAAAATATCACATTATTCGATAAAAAATCATTAGGCCTAACTGCATCAAGCTGGACGTCATATAGACTACAGCAAAAATAAATTGAAACGCAAATGCAATACATTTATGATGAAATTTAAAAAAAACTAAAACAACAAAATTTGTATTTCGAATTTCCAAAATAACTCTAGCCATGTACCGTATATAAGATAAAAACTCTAGTCTAAACAACGGTGTTATACGCAAATTATGTTGCTTGTCAGTGCCATAAGATTAAATATTTTCATGATCGCGTTCTGTATTTCTTTTGGCATAAGAAACAGATGCTCCAAATAATATTCCGGCTCCAAGGGCTATCACACTACCAATGGCTGCCCACAGAACTGCATTCTGCACTTGCTTGCTCTCAGCCTTGCCGTGGCACCAACGAGCAAAATGCTCACAGTTGTTATAAGGGAGTTCATAAGAGCTGTCTCTAAACGGACGTCCTACTTGACTTTTTGCCCTTTCGACAACTTCTGCCCGGCTTAGCTCAGTGAGAAATGGTACAGATTGAAATTCTGTATCATCACCCAGGAATTGCTTAATGGTCACCTGGCGGACCTCTGCTAAATGCTTTTCTTTTAGGCTTATGTTTGAATCTGGCGGCCCAGAGAAGTGAATGACATTACCATCTCCAATATACACTCCTATAAATATAATAAAATCATTGTTGGTAATAGGCCTAAGTAATAAGTCAAATATTAATAATAATAATAATAATAATAATAATAATAATAATAATAATAATAATAATAATAATAATAATAATAATAATAATTATTATTATTATTATTATTATTATTATTATTATTATCATTATTATTATTATTATT